GAACTTGCAGTCCTCCTGCCTCAGCCTCTTGAGTAGCTTTGATTATAGACATGCTCCTCCATGCCCACCTTCATCATGTAAGTTAGTCTTTTTTTTTTTTGGGTGGTACTGGGGTTTGAACTCAGGGTCTCATGCTTGCTAGGCAGGTGCTCTACCTTTGAGTCACTTTGGCAGCCATTTTGTATTGGGCATTTTCAAGATAGGGGCTTGCGAACTATTTACCTGGGCTGGCTTCAAACCACAGTCCTCTTGATCTCTGCCTCCTGAGTAGCTAGTATTAGAGGTGTGACCTCCTACCTCACCCAGTACACATAGGTCTTACTGTCATCTTGTATGATCTAAAGCAGGGCTTCCTTTGATATAGGAGTTAAACAGTGAGTGAAAAAACCTGATGACTGAGAACGATAGCTTAGATGTTGATAAGGAATCACATCCTGGGCTCCAGACATTAAGGGAATGACTTGTGACATACAGCAGTCTTGCTGACCCACAACCTGTGGGACATGACAGCACCAGTCTGGTCATCCAAGGTCAAGAACTCCCCCATCCAATATGTAGGAGACTTACAGTCTCTGGAAGTTAATGACACGTTAATCTAGTTTTCCAGGACTGACCACCTCATGACCACAGGTAACAATAAAACTTGAAGTCTTGAGACTTCCAGCTTGCCTGCCCTCTCACCTGAAAGGTACACTTTCCCATTATTTTTGCTTTCACTTCACTTTACATTAATAAACCTGCTTCTGCTTAAGTCTCCTCTGTGTCTAGCCTTAAATTTTTTCTCTGATGAGACCAAGGACTTTTTGGCTCCTGAATCTGGTGACCTGGATTCATTAACACTTTGACATTATCCCTAGCAGGTGGTAGCTTACCTCTTCTCGACCATGTGAAGAAACTCATATTGCAGTTTAGGATGTTGAGATGGCCATGGAGGTTCTGACACTCCTAAATAATATAAGGCCATGTTGTAGTTACACAACCTGGGTAAAAATGGGTTTTGAAGATGAGAGGCTTAAAAAATGCATCTGATTTAGATACCTTATGTGCTCCCTCTTACTAAGCCTCTGTTGGAGTAACAGCTTTGAGTGGTCTTACCAGCCATCCACGTCCTATCTGAAGTCATGTCCTACCTCTTCCTTCCTGCCTAAGGGCTTTGCTGATGCTGCAGCATGGGACTCCTTGGGAAGCACTATGCACTCACACTCATGTACCTGTAACTGTTGGAAAACTCATTGTCATGGAGCCACCATTGACTAATGGAAGGTGGGAGTGAGGGGTAAATGTATTGTCAGGAGAGTTTGCAGATGTATGTCACAGGACTCCCTGGGATACTTCAGTTGACTCATTCTTGTGTTGGCTTCCTCTCCCTTCCTGTTTTGCTTCTCCTGCCTGTCACTTCTGCTGGCTTGGATCACTCCTAAATAGTCCAAGCACTGGCTTTGGTCTCAGATTCTGCTTCTAGGGTCATTCAGGCTCAGACAGCAACAGTGGAAAAAAAAAATCTAAAATTCAAATGGGAGGATGTTAATTGCTAATTTACCTAAATCCCACAATCCACTTGACCAGCAAGACTAAGCAAGATGAGTTTATCTTAAACATTGTTTTAGAACTCACTGACTTTTCTGTCTCTGTAACTTATCTTCCTCCACCCCCAACCGTTTCTTACTCTTTTAGGTCTTCCCATCTCTTCATTCTTCCGTCTCTATTCTGCTGATTGCTCATCTCTCTTCTCTTTGCTTTGTCTTATCTGTGGTCCCGCCTATCTTTTCATCTTATTTCTGTCTCCTTCTCTTCCTTTCTCATTGTTTTTCTGTGATTCCACCTCTTTCCTTCCCTTTCCTACTGTTGGTAAATAAAGTTGGAGTCAGTCTAGCTTGTGGACAATTGAGTCTTCTGGCCTTAATCTCCTTGTTATATCTTATAAAGTGGGTGGGAGGGGAGGCAGGATTAGATTGTGTGTTCTCCCAAACTAAGGATTCTGTTGGTTTTGCTGAGTATTGATGGTACTGATTCATAATAGACACCTTATGAGTGGGGAAGAATTGATGAGTTAGTTATATGAGTTATAATGGGACTTCAACTTTCCTGTAGTCATAGTTGATTCTTAGTTCTGGTCCTGAGTATGTAGATCCCTCACCCCAGTTTTCTTTCTCTGATCTCGACTCTTCTTTTTTTGTGTGTGTGTGTAGGGGTACTGGAGTTTGAACTCAGGGCCTACACCTTGCCACTCCACCAGCCCTTTTTTTTTTGTGGTTTTTCCTCCCCCTCCCTTGAGCTAGGGTCTTGTGAACTCTTTGCCTGGGGCTGGCTTTGAACCTTGATCCTCCTGATCTCTGCCTCCTAAGTAGCTAGGATTACAGGCATGAGCCAGTGGAGCCTGGCTGATCTCTACTCTTTAGCTGGGTCATGAAAATAGATTCATTCCCAGTAGTGGAAAACCACAAGCTGGTTTCCTGGGTGCTAGGAGATCCACGAGGAAACCTCAGGTCCTCATTGCTTCTTCTCAGGAGAGTGCAAAGCAAAGTAAACGCTCTTTGGAGTTGACTTGTCTGTCCCTCTGTAAAGCCACCAAAACACATGCATTTGTTCACAATTCAAAACCACTTTATTACCAAAATGAACAAAAGGAGAATGACATTTAAATTAAATAAATTACACAAATATCTTGAGAGATAAGGTTCCCAGTCCTCCCTGGGAATCACATCATCACAAGTCAGTATCAGTAAGAACATTAAAAAAAAAAAAAAAACAAACATTGAAATTCTGGATTATTTTGCTACCTTGCTCCCTCTCTTCCTACCTCAATCATGTCCAGAAGAGTAGTCTGTGTGACATTTGTGTTCCTTCTAAAATATCCTGACAGTGGAGTTTTCTTCAATGTCTTCCTCTGCCCATATGTTTCTAACTACACTTTCTCCTCAGCCCTATGAGTACTCATGTTGAAGAACCCTCCTGGAGCCCCAATTCTAGGCCATTGTGAATCAGCACTCTCCTTTATTCTGGGGCTGGCCTCAGGATTAATGGTCACTTGAAGTCTCCAGGGGATGTAGGCTCTTGGTTTAAAGAAGAACTCTGACTTGGGTTGTCTGGAGGCTCTGTGACCTTTCCCTACCTCCTAGGCCAGAGCTGGACTTTGAAGGAGGTGGAGCAGGGGAGAGGTGAGTTGCCATTGGCTAAAGTTCTTGTCCTCCTGGAATTTGGCACTTCAGAGTGCTGGGCACGGTGAATCCCAGATAACATTGTCTTCTGCCTTCCAAGTTTTGAGCTCCATTGGCAGCCAGATGGCATAATGAATTCACTGAGAAGCAACGCTCATGGGCCAAGAATGTGCTGGTTCTTTGCCAGTGCCCTCTCCTTTAACTCTCAGAAGACTTGCTAGCTGACTAGCTCACTCAACATGCAGACACATAACGCAGGTCTGGCTGAAGTTAGGAACTGGGACGTTTTACCGGGCTGGGCCAGCCCAACCTGTTGGGGCAAGGATCATTAAACTGAAGGAACCTGGTATGAAAAAAAAATTTTTTTTTTGGCAGTACTGGAGTTTGAACTTGATGCTTCATGTTTGCTAGGCAGGTGCTCTACACTCGAGTCACTCCTCCAGCAAAATTGAAAGAACTTGGAAGAAACAGTGGAGAGGGGCCAGAAGATTTTCTGTGCACTTTCATGGAATTTTTACAAAACACTTGCATGTGAACCTATTTCTAGTCAAGCCAACAGTGGGGTTCCTCTAGTTACCTCCCTATATACTTGGAGAACTTAACCCCTATTTTCATCTTTTCTAGAGGAAGATGACCTCAGGTTCTGAGGTTGTTAAGAGTTCCCTGTGGTAGGAAGACTCAAACTGTACCTGCCCCTCCCCATGTCTGTACCCTGTTAGAGGATGCAGCTGGTCCCTGAGGACTTCCTGCCTTGCCTGGCAGAAAGACACCATCAGGCTACAAGCTGATAAGGGAGAGTTAAAATGATTGGCTCTTTGCCTAGTGAAGAAGGGCAAGGCAGATTTTCTAAGGAGAGGCATTTCCCTGATGGACCCTGAGGTTGGGGGGACTGTCAGGGTTCAGGTCCCACTAGTTTGCTTGGGTTGGTGCTAGCACCTCCCCCCTTCCAAGTGTCCAGTGCAAAGAGAGACTTCCATAGCTTCCCTGAAGAATAAGTGATATCTGTTGCTAAGTTGTCAGAGGGTTCTGTCAGCTACCTGCCCCCCTTTTGGGTTCCTACCGAACCTCAAGTGGAAGGGAGCAGCGTCTGAGGGGTGGTGGTGATGTTTCAGGAGACTGAGGCAGTCCTTGATGGGCTGTCCCTGCGGAGGTAGCTCTGGTGATCTGGAGGGTCCTTGCTATTGTCCAGGCTAAAGTCCAAAGGACTGAATGGCATGGAGATCTCAGCATTCTTGGGATGAAGGAGTGACATTGTCACCAAGACAGATACTCTTAGGCTGTGGAGAGCACCTGATATTGGGGGTACAGAGCTGCCAGGCACAGAGTTAAGGCAGCTGGAGGGGGCAAACCTCAGCATCCTAACCGAGTTCATTCCTGCATTCTGTGATAGACTGATATCCTTGATGCCAAGCCATGCAAGCCATAGGACCCATTTTGAAACGGGTACAATTGACCTTCTTGAAGGTCAGCACAATTCTTGTCCTCCTGTTCTTGGCTCACTCTTAAAATCTGGAAGTCCAGGGCGTTCCATTAGCTGCCATGGTCAGGGCATAGGTGGGTGGGGTGGAGTGAGCAGGAAGCTTGTGCATTGCTGTCCCTGGAGGACAGGGAGGGGTACTCTCACCTTTGCAGGAGCAGGCCCCTCCTGCTGCTGACATGGCTCTTTCCAAGGAAGCGGGAGGGAGGGAGGAAAGGGAAGGAGGGAGGAGAAGAGGGAGAGGAGCTAAGAGTCCTGGTGGAGTACTCTCCTCTCCCTGCCACTCCCTGTGATCCTGGGCTTATCCTCCATGGAAATCCAAGGTGCCAGGTGATCTGGAGGCAACACGAGGATCAGCTGGGCCCTCATAAGGCAGTCAGGGTCTCTGTATGAAACATGCTCCCAAACATCTCCTGCAGGGGCCACAGAAAGGAAGGGTGAGGGGAAGGGAAGGGGTCAGACGGTTGGGGTCAGAGTGACTGCAACCAAGAGGTGGTCCTGTGGACCGCTGGTCAGAACGAGGCACTGCAATATATGTGTCTGTGTGGGCAAGAGTGTGTGTGAACAGGGGAGAGGCAGGCTAGCCTAGGAAGTGAACTACTACAGTAGGGATAGGAGAAGGTGCTAGAATGTACTTGTGAACTGCCTGTTGTGTGCAGTGTGCCCTTCTCCATATCCTTCCCTGTTTTTTCTTTTTTTAACTTTATTAGGTAAAATGAGTGTGGATACTGGAGGAGCTGTAAAGCTCTTTCTCAGTTTGATGAGCTACTTCAGTCCCATACAGGTTTTTTAAAATTAATTAATTTGTTTTATGTGCTGGAAATTCTAAGGGGGTCACAGACGTCAATCTGCCACATCTCTGTGGCTCTGGCTTTATTTCCTGATGTTGCACTCCTGCAGCAGCACCCTGAGAGACATGCTGGGAGGGCCATGGAACTCAAACCCAAAAAGAATGGGAAGAGACTCAGAGAGATGCTATTTTTAATAGACCCAAAGCCAGAGAGCTCTAAACCAAGGCTCCCAGTTTCTTTCTTTCAGGGCAGTGGGTGGGTGCTAATTTTCATGGGCCCTATGGGGATAGTAATCCCTTTTAGCTCTTAAGTCCTGTCCAATTGCAATAATAATTCATTTGTACCCCTAGAATGAATCTGATTTTATCAGAATAGAGTTCCCTAAGAGCAGGGGTCTTCATTTTGTTCACTGCTGTCAGCCCACTCTGTAACTAGGTCAAGTAAGCAGTAAGTACTCTATAAATAAATACCTATTGAGTTAATGAAAGAACAAATGGCTTCTCCACCAATCATGTGGGGGACAAGTGCTACCCATATATCGCTTATTTTTACGAATGCTAACAACCAGCACCCAGTGGTGTCAAGTGGCTTGCCCAAGATCTCAGGGCTGATGTGTTGTAGAGTCAAGAATAAATATGGGCTCTCCAGGACTTGGTCCAGTGATTCTCCCTTCCCCCAGGACGCCTTTCAGGGAGTAAGAAGAGTTAAGATCTGCTATTAAAGAAGGATGAGGATGGAATTTTGTTGCCTTCAAGGTGACTGCTCTGACCTGGAGGTGAGAGCCCAGCGAACACTTTGTACTTGAGGGAGTTCCCTGCCTTCCCTCTCACTTTTTGATCCTCTACTCACCTGTTCTAAGTCCCAATAGCTGGGGCTGTCCTCCTCTGAATCGTATAAAGAGAGCTCAGTGTCTCCTGCAGCCTGGAAGGAGGAAAGCAGGGGCAGGATGAGATCAATAACAGAACAACAGTTGGTACACGGCAGCAGGAAGGACACATGGTGGATGCCATGTTTCCTGTATACTGGTCCTCACATTTTGCCCCTTCTCTCACCTGCCTCACAGTACAGCACAGCTTGCCCTTTCCCCTTACGCCAGGCAGGTGTGTATCAGGGCCAGCCAGTTGAACAGTTGCCTGACCTTGGGGAATTCCTTTCCTTTCTCTGGGATTCTGTAAAATGTAGGATAATCAGAGCCACTTTGCTGGCTTCCTCCCTCACCATGCTGTTGAAAAGGAGTGTGTGTGCATGAAATTTGTATGTGAATATGCTCATATATGATGTACATTATGTACAAACACAAATAATACATGATAAACAAACTGCAACAACTAGACATTACTGGTGCAGGATTTGCCCAGAACCCCTGTTTCCTCTGTGGACAAGGCTCATGAAGCAGGAAAGCTGTTGGTGAGTTTCCCTCTAAGTGTGGAGGGCAGGAGCCGAGGCCCTGTTTTCCTGGGCAGTCTTTCAGCACTTAGAACTGATGGCTTCGCCTTCATTAGTCTCTTAAGGCAAAGAGCAAATTGCTGCTTTAGGGCCAGGAATTTTTTCTTTTCTTTCTTTCTTTCTTTTTTTTTTTTTTTTTTACAGAGGCCAGGGCCTCAAACAAAGTCTTGGGAGGCCACAGGGCTGAGCTGGGAGGAGACTTGTGGGGTGAGGGATGGCTGTGGAGAATGGGGCAAGGACCCCAATGGCATTATCCTTTTCTGACTTCTCAGCTTTCTAGAGTTCTAGACAGTGTTATTTGTACCTCATTTGCATACCTCTTACTGAGCTAGTAAATTCAAAGTCAAGAGGCTGAGATAAAACTTGATTCAGCCTCTACATCCATCACCAGCTTGAACTCTTCAAGCTTGGCTCCTCTTCCTCCCTTCCCAAAGGCCCTTTTAGAAAGGGACGGTGTTGGGGTGAGGTCACAGATTAGTGGTGCTAGAGTAGAAGGCATAATTTATGTACCATGCTTTATGTGCTGTCATGGCACAGGATTTTTTAACCATATACAAATAGCTTTCTATTAGTATAACTGTCATTCAATCCTAAAATAAAAGAAAAGACCCATGAGGTAGATAACAGTTGCTGATGGTACCCATTCTACAGATAGGGTACCTGAAATTCAGACAAGTGAAAGGACAGAATTGGTGTTAGAACTCAAACTTTCTCCTGTGTTCTTTCCAAAGCCCCTTGGTCCTGCTATTTGAGAGTCACATGAACTAGGATTCCCCAGGTGCAAAGACCTTACCCCTTGGAAGCTGTGTCCTGGGGCCACTTCTCTGGCATTTGCCTGGGCAAAGAGGACTGCATCATGAATGCTGGGAAACACATGGTTGTGCTCTACACATCCATCCTCGAAGACACCTCCGGAGCGGATGTCATTGTACACCTGGGCTGGAAGGAGGCAAGGTCACCTTTAGAAAGATAACAGCCGCTGTGAATTGAAGCTGGGGGAAGGGACGGATGTGAGGCCAGAGCAGGGAGGAGGACCTGAGCGGCCCCAGGTTTGCGCTGCATCCCAGGACCTCGGAATTGTAATATCAGTTTTGAACAGCAGAGGGCGACATGAGCTTGAGGATGCTCAAGGCTCCTCCAGGGTTGAAGGAAGCAGTCTGATTCAGGGAGTTGGTACTCTGTGATGATTGGAGAAGGAAAGGCTAACAAGTCTAGAAGTCTGCCATCAATTCTGTCCCCTAAGACCCATCCTTCGTCTTGGTTAGCTAGACTTTTCCTATAACTTCCAATGTGTGGCAGAGCCTTTACTCTTAATCAAATTCTGGAGAGGGTTTTCCAGGAGTGTCCAGAAAGGGTGGGAGGAATCCACTGATTAACTCTGGAGCACATTGGGGCTGACGCTCTGCAGGAAGCCAGGTGTGTGTCTATGCCCCTCACGCTGTCTCTTGGGTCCTTGTGCACCACAGTGCACTGCATCCTTGCATGTGGCCTATGTGCTAACACTGTGAATGCCACTGCTGTGTGATCATGTCCTCAGGGCCGTGTAACGAGCCCTTTGGAGCTCACCCCCAGGTGGTTAGGGCATATGTGCATATGTGTTCTGTGTTTATACAGATTCATGGAGCTTCTCATTTGGAGAGGATCCCTAAGTTCATCTAGTCAACTCTCTAATTTACATGGGCAGGAGGGGATCCCGAGACAGATAAAGTGACTTGGCTCAGGCTACACAGAAAATTAGTGGTGGAACAGATTAGAATCCACCACTTCCCCTCCTTGTTTCTTCCATTACTGGGATGAGATAAAGCCCCCAGGATGCTTAGATAATCTGACCAGTCTCTTTTGACTTGTATCTGAAGTTCTTGCGAGCAGGCAGCAGTTTTGGGGAATATTGGGGTACTCTCATTCGGTATCCCACAACCTGTTCCCACCCTACCCCATCTCCAGTCTTGCAGTCCCCTGAACATACCCCTTTCCTTACCATGGATGTTCACCAAGAAGACCTTGACTCCGATCTTCGCATAGGTGGAGCTTAGCTAGAAGTGTCGGGAGGGTGTTGGGAAGGGGGAGACAAAAGGAAAGGAATGTTCTGAGTGGGTCTCAAAAGTGTCTCATAAAACCCACTTCAGAGGGGAAGCCAAACAAATAAGCAACCCTTAGAGCCCTGTCAGCCAAAGACAAAAATAGCAGCAGAGCACTTCACTTCTCTCTGGAGTGTTGGCTGAAGGAGTCTCTGGAAAGCGGGGCGGAAGTGCGGCTTTGCCAACGTGGTAGACACTTCAAGTCACTGAGGCCCTTCTTGTGGGGCCAGATCTTTGCTTTTAATGCTTAATTCCTCACTCTGCCTCTTTCCTGACTTTGTGGCTTCAGGCAGAAGCTGCAGGGGAAGACAGAGGCTCAGAGACACCAGGCTTAGGCTGTGGCCTGGACTCCAGGACCAGGCTAGGGAAGCAGGCTGGGGAGAGGCGTTCTCTGACCTCAGTTGGTGGTGGCCTCAGCTAGCATATTCTCTGTGCTCCTCTGTCTCCCTGGGTCGCCTCCCTCTGAGTTACCCTGAGTTTCCCTGACTCTCTGCGGTTGGAGCTGGCATACCCATTCAGTGTCCCAAAGCTGTTTGTTTGGCCTGAGGGTGGGGTGGGGGTTGCTGACATTATTTCTTCTCTCTTTGATTGTCTGGTGAGTGTGGGAAGGGGCAGCAGGTGAAGAACCAGGAGCCATGCTGGCTTCTGCTCAGAGGACTCTGGGATGCGTTCCTGGGGGCCTGAGAGGGAACTCAGGGTGGTCTCTGCTGCTGCCAGTGGAGCAGCGGGGCCTGCAGCTCAGGGAGCCTCTACAGTGACACATTGACAGGGCCTACCCTGCAGATAGCATCGTCCTGGTCACATCTGGGGAAAGGAGGGGACCTTATGGCCATAGCCTCCCTCAGATTGTTGAAATGAAGGCCCTGAGAAAAGGAGCCCGAGGGAGCAAGAGATGGGGCCTCCTCCCACACCCTGAGGCCTTACCTTGGCCAGGGCTTTGATGCCCATCAAGTCCACAAAGCTGACTCCACTCATGTCAAGGATGAGGGTATGGAAGGTGACAAAGGGCGGGACACTGGCCAGAGTGTCACTGGGCTCACTGAGGGACTCAGCAGAGGCGGGGGGCTCACACGGGGTGGCTGAGGAGGTGTTGGGGCTGAAGGTGATATAGGAGATGCCGGCGCCATTCGCAGGTGTTTGGTTATTGTTGGGGTCGATTGGGGAGGGGGTCTCAAAGTCCTGCTGCAGTTCCTGCAGGGAGACAGTCTGGGGTGGGGGCAGCAGGGGCAGGGTCAAGGAACTGAACCACTTTGCTGAGGCTAAAGTGGTGTTGGTGTTGGGGGGGCACCGGTAGAAATGAATAACATAGCTTGGTGGCATGAATACAGGCCCCCAAAACCACATGGCGAGGCCTTTCTTATAGCCATTCTTGAGGCAAAGCCTGCAAACTTGTGCCCCACAACCAAGACAGCCACCCTGAAGCCCCAGCCCACTCTGCTCTGGGGGGAAGACCCTTTGGGGACAGCAGAGCTCCTTCCTGCATTTGTCATCTCTGCCTGCTTCTCCCAAACTCCTCTCTGTTGTAGCCTTGCCACCCTGGACTGACAGGGCTCCCTGAGAAATTTGCTGCTCCTCCTTATCTGGGCTGCTCACAGGTTCAGAAACAATGTCCTGTCTTAGCAGAACACAGGAGTGCAGTCGTTACCCTGGGAGCTGGCAGCCCTCACCCAAGAAGAGTGTCAGGTGGGCCCTTGGGCTCAGTTCTTGTGTGTCTCTCAGGGGTCTCAGGGTGGTATCAGGGGCAAGACCAGAATGGGCGTAGGGGCCATTCCTGGCCTCTGTTCACCTTGGTTTTCATGAAGAGAGACTTCCTCTGCTGTGTGGGCGCTGCTCTCTTCTCCTGCTTCCTGAGGCATTTCTGCTTGGCAAGTAACACTTTCTGGGGATCCATACCTGTCTGTGGGGAGATAGCCAACAGCAATCTTGACCTCCACCCTTTGTTGGGGGTGGCCTGTTCTTGGCTCCCAGACCTTTTCTGTGTCCATCTTCTGCCTGTTCACTCTTTGGCCCTTCTGGTCACCAAGGACTGAGCTTACCTTGGCAATGATCTTTTGCCTGAAGATCTCTGAGTTGGCAAAGTAGAGAGGAGAGCAGTAAGTGACGATTTTAATCCCTTCAATTTCCTGGACCTGTGACAAGGAGACGGAGTTCAGGTGGCAGACGTGTCTTTACTGTTTTTTGTTTTAAGTTACTATTATTGTTAAGAATAATTCTTGAGGTGGGGACAGGATTACCTACCCTACTGTAGGTCTTGGGATTCACATAGATGTCGGTGTCCATGACCTGAGCCAGAGCATAGCCATTTCGACTAGATGAAGAGCAAAATGAAAATATAAGAGATGCTAATAGCATATGGACCAGGGTGGATCCTGTCCTCATCCTGGGCTTGTTTGTGTTAGGCTTTCTGTGAACGAGACACACGCCTGGTGGTCTGTAGTCAGACTAGAGCTAAGGAGATGTCCAGGCAACTAAGCCCTTCCAGACTGGGGCTTAAGCTTAAGTGGCCCTGAAATCATCACTTTCTGATTCTGAGTTCTCAAGAAGAGAACACTGCATCCTCCAGCCTTCAGCATCCTCCCAGCCCTGGGCTGGACCCTCTCTCTGGTGCCCTTGGCCTGGATTACTGAATCCTTCTATAAGAAGAGCGTAGTACTGGTCCTCTGCTCTGGTGTTCTCCTGGGTAAGGTCATTTGGTCTGTGGTTCTGACAGTGTTTCTGGAAGATGCTGGGTTTTATCCTGCTCTTCCTCTACTCTTCTCTGCACCCCAGCCCTCTTAGATCTCATTGACTTCCTCCGGGTTGGGATATGAGAAGGTAGACACCTCAGCCTGTGCCCACAGTCCTGGCTGGGTCACTCTCTCTTCAGACCTGGGAGCATATCCTCTGCCAGGCTCAGAAGGTAAAAGTTGCAGTGGGCTAAGCGAAGCCATGGCATGGGAGCCTTCTGCAGGCTTGCCAGTGACCCCCCTGATGTGCAAGGCAGGGAGAAGGTTACTTACAACTGGGTCTGGAAGACCACAACCAGGACGGAGAAGGCGACACCCACTGCCACACCATAGGGCAGGCTCAGGAAGAAGGAGGAGAGGAAGCTCACCACCCAGATACACTGTGAAGAAAGAGATGTCAAGAGCAGGCCTGGGGAGCAAAACTGCCTCTCTCAGGAAGTTTTCCAGGATTAGCCAAGGCCCTTCTCTGCCAGCACTATCTCAGGCCCTTTCTTTCCTTGATATTGCATTTTTGCAATAATTTATGTGTTTGTACCTTGATGATACCTGCCTATTTCCCTTAGATTGAGTGTGGCTTTTTGATCTTACCTATTTTTCTTTTTTGATCAAACCCAGGACCTCACATATTCTAGGCAAGTACTCTGTCACTGAGCTACTCCCCCAGCTCCTTGCTTTTTTTTTTTTTTTTTTAATAGAAACCCAACATACGTAGAGAGACAGCATAAACACAGTAAAAAGAACACGCAGCTTGGATAAAATAGGCCTTGGTTTTCTCATTGGCTATGTGAGCTGTGGTTTACTAATTCAAGAGGGGGAATAATAACGCCTCTTTCATGAAAAGATGAAAGAGTGAGGGGATGCAAAGGTCCTAGCCTGGTGATCAGTAAATGGGAGTTCTCTTTCTGTCTGATAGCAAGCTGCATTTGCCTTGACACCTGAGGGCCGAGGGCAGGGACCTGGTTGTGTGGGTTGCTCCCTACAGACCCTTAGGAAACCCCAAATTCCTTTGCAGGAGATCAGTCTTCCCAGATTCCTATAGAGAACTGTTGCCACAGCAGGGCGATGGTTGGGATGTGGTAAAAGCAGATCCTTGAGCTAGGTTTCCTTCCTATCCCCATTGCTTACTCACTGGGGGACCCCAGATGGACTGCCACTTCTCCAGCTTGAGGATTTCCTTCTCTGCATTGTGTGGGTGAGCCTTTCTCTCCTGGGACACAGGACAGCCGGACTCTACCACTTGCTTTCTCTGTGACCTTCGATGATTTACTGAACCACTCTGAACCTTGAATTTGTCATCTTTAAAGGAGGCTATGGTGGTGCTTAAATGGAGGTGATGCAGTGTTGTCACTATGTGGCAGCCTTTATGACTCCTGCCAGTGGAGGAGGCATGGAGGGTGTGACTAATTGCAACAGTAAGTTACGCTTACAGGATGTTTATGGCTACACAGTGCTCTCCCAAGCCAACCTCCCTTAATCCTTAGAACCAGAAAATGATGTGGAATATGACTTCACCCTGCTTACAGATGAGGAACTAGAACCTCAGAGAAAGCTAGTCACTTGTTTCAGATTTTATGTTCTAGGCTTTTCTATGAAATGATTTCCTTTTGCTTTTTTGGAACTATAAACCATAAAACACAAATACATTTCAGGCAACATGTAGTTTACTTGTATATCTCGTTTCTTCTCATAAGCAACCCAGGAGGTAGAGAGTATAAAATACCCACTTTGCAGATGAGGAAGCTGAGACACAAAGAAGTAAAGGCACTTGCTATCAGCCACAGAGCCAGTGAATGGTCAAGTTAGTATTTGAACATACGATGTCCAAAGCTGGATTCTAAGCCACTGGGCTATGGTTCTTAGGAAGCAGCAGGACAAAGGGTTCATCATTAGGCAGGGATGTGGGTCAGGGGAGGGAAGGGCATACACGGGTGCCCGGAGACCGCCCAATACCTACACAGTCCAGCTTGCTCTTCCTCCACAGGTAGTAGGGGTCAGCGAGTTGCTTGAGGGAGTTCTTAAGGTTGACAGCTATCAGGGCTCCCAGCACAGCCTGGAGAGGAAGAACATCATTCCATGTCACCTGGGATATCTCCTTCTTCTTCCCCTTCCTATACACACCTGACCTTGGAGTCGGGCAGGATAGACCTGGACTTCTAGAACATTCCCCGGTAAAGCCCTCAATCTCTCCATGCGATCTTATATTTGGAAAGTGCAACTGCTTTCATTCCGGCCCCATCTTTGCCCTTCCTCTCTTCCCGTGTCCCTAAGCCCTCCTGCAGGGGCTATGCAGGTGCTTGGCAGTCACAGGTACCTGACTTACTGCCTGAGGATCAGACTCTGAGGTCAGATCAAGTACTCAGTCTCAGCTTTGCTCACCTGAAAAAGGAGGATAAAACCTGCATTGTCTATTTCACAGGTTGTGACTGAGACTGAGCCTGACAATGATGGCACTTTGCAAACTGGTGAGTGTTATACCACTCTTAGGGATTCTTCTTACTGGAGACGCTCACTGTGCTCTGCTTTCCAGCTGAGCTCTTACCTTGGGGAGAGGGTACAGATAGGACCCCAGGACCAGCATGGTGATCATCACCACTAGAGACACGCACAGGCTCGCTACCTATTCAGAGAAAGAGTTAGGAATAGCTGGGCATGGTGGTGTGCCTGTAATCCCAGCACTTGGGAAGCTGGGGCAGGAGGAGTATAAATTTGAGGTCGACCTGGGCTACGTAGTGAGTTGAAGGCCAGCCTGGACTATATAGTGACACCCTGCCTCAAAAACAAACAAACAAACAAACAAACAAAGTTGGGAATGGGGGCAAGTCTTGCTCTTGATTGATTGCCATACATGTCTGGTGGAGTGGAGACTAAATAGGGAAAAGCTGGCCTGGCCTGCGGTGCCTGGGCTTCTCTGGGGCAATTGTTCTGTTTCCACCCCTGCCTGCTCCCCAGGTACTCCCCAGGGCTCACCTGGGATTTTCCTCCTGCTCCATCCACAGCCAGAGTGACAGACAGAGCACAGCAAATGACATGGATTTTAAAGAAGGAGCCAAAGAAGTTGCTGCAGCCCAGAGCAATCATCTCCTGGGGAAGAGGGACATTGTTGGTGGAGAGCAGAAATTAAATGTGGCCAGCTGTGCAAGAGGGATCTTGGGCCCATGAGAGTGACCCTGAGGTTATAGCGCCACATAGTACCGGTCAAGAGAAGGTCAGCTTCTTGGCATCAAAGTCCTCTCACCCCCTCACCTCAGCTCTAAAAGCCCCAAGATCTCATCTCTCTCTCTCTCATATTCTCTCTCCCTCTGGTCTAGGGATTGAACCCAGGGCTTTTAGTGCACAGTAGGTGGACATTCTGCCACCAGTTATATTCCCACTCCTCTTAAAATATCCCTACCAGGCCCTTGTTGGCCTATCCTACCCAGCCCTGCTGAGGGTGGCCAAAGCTACCTGGTTAGAATCCACTCCATAGCCGTGTTTGCTGGCCAGGGTCCGGCCCATAGCTAGGTTGATGACGTAGCCCACAATGGCCAGGGAGAAGGCTGTGCCCACCATGTCCTTCCACTGTGACACCACGGGCAACACCGGAGTGGGGAACCTGCCAAGGAGCCAGAAAGGAGGCAGGGCCCAGAGGTGTGAGGAGAGGGAGGGAAGCGGAGTTCTTCATCAGATTGCAGAGAGCAGTCAGGCCCCTTCTGGGTGCCAGGGTCTTCGTTTAGCAATCTCAGTTCACTCACTGCAACCCAGGGGCAGCCAAGAGAATTAGAGAAGCACTTGTCCAGGTCACAGAGCAGGTAAGCGGCAGGGCTGCCTTTGTGCTTAAACCCTGGACTCTTTCTGCTCATTAGCTGACAGATTCACAGACCCTCAGTGCTAGGAGGCCTCTCCTCCCTCACTTACTCCAACTCTCAGGACAAGCTTTGCCCCTGTCCTCCATGTGCCTGGCACAGCATGGATGCTTCACGGATTTGGTTGACTCTAATAGCTTCCATCCTGCCTGGCTAAAGACAGCCAATGTATTAGAGCAGGGCAAAAAGCCAGCGAGGGGCTGATCAGAGAGATTTGTTTAACAGAATCTATGGCATGGGACTTCCGAGGAGAGTGGGGCGGTTAAGACTCACTTTCATAAAACAGCCAGTATGGGCTGGTTGTGTGGCTCTTTTCAGCAATTAATAATAATGATTCGTGTGTGGTCAGTGTCATAGTTTCTAATACATTTTTACAGAGATCATCTCACGCCCATCTGAACCTAGGCTTTGGTGGGAAGTGTGTGTGTGTTTGGTGGGTGGGGAAAAAGTGGGAAGGACAAGACTTGGGGCCACCTGAACTCACCCACGTTGGATCTCTCCCACGATCTGCATGTGATACTTTTTGGGCATCTTAAAGCTTCCGGAGATAGCTGTTGCTACCACCACCTGCAAACCCCAAAGTGGAGAATGGGGATTGTCACTAAGTTGGTGCCAGGGCTGGGGTTTCTCCTAAGTCTCCCTTTCATTTGGGAGCCTTCCATCTCACTCTCTAGCCTCCTTGGGGGCAGTGTGTGGAGGACAGCCTGAGGATCAGGAAAGAGAAACAGCCACACACAGGGGCATGGAATGGATTCATAAGTTACTTCCTGTGAGGGGAGGTAGGAAGGATGGGTAGAGCTTCCCCCTGACCCTGGCTGGAGCTGAATGGTTCTCCTAAAGCCCTTCCATCCTGGACTGCAGCACAACAGCCCCAGGCAGGGTCCTTACCACAATCATCTCCGTAGGGATGGGGAAACGGATCTTGTGCATGTAGCGAGCATTGAGCTCCTTCACCAGCACCAGGAAGACACCGCTGATGAGGGCGAAGATGAGCGAGGCGATGTTGGTGTGGGGGAGACTTTTGCAAATGTCAATGAAGGTCTGGGGGAGAGAGGATCATGCTCACAGGTTCCCACCCTTTCTTCCCATACCACCCTACTCTTGGGTACCCAACCCAGGAAGAGAAACAATCAGTGTTAATGCAAGCCCACAAAGGCAGAACACAGCATCTGAGTCCAAACATGGTCTCATCTCCCACCAACTTCTCCCAAAGGGCATGTTCGGAGCTCATACTATGATGGAAGGCTTTTTATTTTTCTCTACTAGGGTTCAAACTAAAGGAGGAGGGATGAAGATTAGACTTAAGGAAGGACTTCCCAGGCACGGAGGGGCTGAGACATTGGATGGGGAACTGATGGAATGTACATCTCCTTTTCTGCAGGGACTGACCACAGAGAGCGTCAGTGGACCCTTGAGGCCATGTGTCAGACCTCTTCTCATGGGGGAACCCATGGAATCCTCTCTGCCCAGTGGCTCAGCCAGCCTTACTTAAAGCCATCTCAAAATGAGCAGCTCACAGCTTCCCAAAGCAGTGAACTCTGCTCCCATGTCTGCTCCAAGCTTGCCCCATTTGTAGGGTATGTCCCCAGACTCACTAAGATGATGGCCCCTGGACCTGTGTAGGAGGGGATGGTCATGCCGAAGATGTACTTGAGCACTGAGATCAGGATCTGCAGGCCAGCAGCTGTCATGAAACCCCGGATGAAGGACTCAGACAGGTAGATGGCTACAAAGCCAAATTGAATGAAACCCAGGCCCATCTGAGAGGAAGAAAGGGATGGTGAGGGAGACCAGGATGGGTCAGTTGCTCCCTCCATCCTGCCCGACACAAACCCAGGCCTGGAGCTCCATGCAGTGCTGAGACAGCAGTGTCTCTAGGGAAACGAGCCCTCTGTGTCCTTGTCCTGCCCCTCACTGTGCCTTATGTGCCCACAATCAGATTCTTAGTTCTTGTGGGCACCAGCCTCTTTCTGGCCTTAGTTTCCTTATCTGTGAAGTAAACTTGGTCCTTCCTCAGTACTTCCTCTCTCGGTAAATGACACCACCACATACCTGGTTGCCCATCCAGCCTCCTGTACCTCCCGTATCCAATCTATCACCTAGCCCTGTTAATGCTCCTGGCAAAACCCCCATCTCCATCTCTATGGCCACCAGCTTAGTCTAGGCCCCTGTCACTCTACTGGGCCGCTGCAAAATCTTCAAACAGGTCCCTGCCTTGATTCTAATCCACCTGTGAGACATCTTGTCTGCAGCGCCAACGATCCTTACAAATTGCCAACTGGATCCAAGATAGACCCCAGGCTTTATTGTCTGGCAACTGCTTCCCTTTCTGGCCTGTTCTTTGGCCTTCTACCCTCAAGCCTCACCAAATACCTTGCTGTTCCCTCCCTGGCCAGACTACACTGCCCTAGGCTTTGGTGCTTTTGGGTGCTGTTCCCTCTGCCTCGGTCATCCTTCTGCATGTTCATTCAGTTACTGTTAAGTTCTACTCATGCTTTCAGACTGAGGTCAAAGGTTACCTCCTCTTTCAGGTCTTCCCTGACTCTCTCTCTGGGTTCTTGAGCCATTTGTACAAAGCTCTACTGCACAGCTTATCTCACTGCACACAAATCTATCTGTTGACATGGCTACTTCCTCTGTCCAGATTGGAGCAGTTTGTGAAACTGGGCCCCTGTGTTACTTATCTTTGTATCCTCAGGGAATAGCCCAGTTCCTGGCACAGAGAAACAACCCAAACCCATTAACTAAGTGAGTGAATGAATGAAGCATGCTCCTTAAGACTGCTTCTTGCTCTTGCATTCTATCACCAGCTGGGGTTCCCTCCCTAAAACTTTGTGGAACCCTTTGCACCCCTCGTAGAAGCTTAGTTTATGCCATGTACCTGCTGTTGTGGCTTCAGGTAGAGGAGGCTGGAGGGGCTTAAGGGATGATGGCAGAGAGTTGGGTTTCTCCAAGGGGTATCTGAGAGAGGCTGTAAGCATTGTAGGCAGACTTTAAGCTCAGGACAGTTTCATCAGTACCACTGCTGGTCTTAGGTACGGTCTTGCTAGATACAGGTGAGAAGTTACTCTGAACTTTTAAGGTCCTTTTTGGCCTTGGGTGAGGAAGCGGTAGGAGGTAGGGCCTCACCTGGATGATGGCAGTCAGGCAGGCAAGTGTTGCTGACACGTGCAGCCTGTCTGCCTCCATGGCTGCTGTGTCCACATAGCTCTCATTGGTGGCATTGTTGAAGACCCGGAATTTTGACTCTGGGGCCAGCTGCAGACAGATGTTACCCACCAGGATGCTGATAACGGCAAAGGTACCTGTGGTGCCCCACCCAGTCAGCAAAAATCAGAGGTTTGGAGCACACCCATGGAAAACAGTAAGGGGCCCAGGAACATATTCCAACCCAACCCCTGGGGGCTGGGGGGATGGATCTCCACATAGCTCTGTGACCAGGACCTTTTTCTCCATCTTGTTCAGCAACATAAAAACCAAATGTCCCTGAAGTGACCTGCTGGGATCACCCTGGGCATTAGATAAGGATTTCTCAGATCTCTGAGCTTGTATAGCATATGGTGTATTTTATTCTGCCAAGTCCTCCTCTCCTTCCAGGAGGAAGATGGAACAGGTCATGCAGACTGAGCTCACAGGGGCTCAGTGGTCAGCCACCAAGCACCTGGGATTCACACAGTGACTCTCTTTCTAGTACCTACTAACACCAACCCTAGGAGAATGCAACTCCCTTTGCCATATCACCCCTCCTCAAGGTTCGAGTCACCCCAACCACCGAAAGGGGAGAGGCCTTACCTGGTACCATCTGGTGTATACCCCCCAGGAAGAAGTAGGTTAGGAGGGGGAAGAAGGAGGAGTAGAGGCCATTGACTGCAGGAAGGTTGGCTAGCAGAGCAAATGCCATGCCTGCAGGGGACAAAGAGATTGAAGGTTCAGGAACACAGATGGCTTATGGTGGTCATAGAGGGACAGAGTGGAGATGGGACAATAGGAGGGAGTGGCACCTTGTGGCACCTGGATGCATCCCCCACTGAGTCCACCAAGCATGTCAGGTATGATATAGTCTTTGATCTTGTATTTGGGAAGCCAGGAGAGCACAGGCAACAACCCAAACACCACAGCTTTGACCTTGGCTGAAGAGCACCTGCAAGAGAAGGGGACAGGTTGGAGAGGGATGTCACCCATTCTCCACTCAATCTCCTATCTAGTGCCCACACGATGTTGCATGCCAGGGATACTAAGGAGAGAAGGCAGGAACTTTCTCTAAAGAGCTTGGCAAGGTGCCTAGGGCATCAGCTGGAGGTCTTTTCGCTGCTGGCTGCTCACCTGGGAAGTGTACAAGGCTTGACTTCCAGGTGTGAATTTTATGGCAGCTCAGCCTTCTGAGGTGTCAGGTCCATCCCTAGCTCAGTGGCCTTTCTTCAGGAAAGGCTTCTTTGAGCTCCTGTCTGATCAAACAAACTCAGGCTTGGGGATCCTTATCTAGGCTATGGCAGCTCCTGGTGCCTTGTGTGCTGCAATTTTTTGTCTTTCATCTGTCTCTAGACAGCAAAACCCTCACGGTGAGAAGTCTGTCTCTCCCCATTCTTGCGCACCTTGGGTATTACTGAGGAGTGCTCGGTAAATATTTGTTGCTTAAAAGAATGACTGGATGGACCAGTATTGAAAATCAGTCTGAATGGGGGCTTTCCCCAAAAGCAGGCTCTGTTGTCCCTGCAAGGTGCACCTCTGCTGACTCGCCGTCCTTTATATGCGATGGCTCTAGTACTGGAGTTTGGAGGGGGAAAGAATGCAGGGGAGGGAGAGTTGATTCCTTCCTTGTTTGTTGAGCACCTTGAGGTCCTTTCATGGAAACTCAGGAGCGGCAGGAACAAGGGCCTACAAATTCAAGAGCGACAGCCGGTGGATTGATGACTGGAAGCTGGGTGTGATTTTCTTTTCTTCTCCCAGTTGAGGGAACTCAAATACCCAGAGCCCATCTGGTGACTCACTGCCCTGCTCTGATTAGGCTTTCTTTCCTGCCCGGCACCAGTTCTTGCCTTTTGCTGTTGCTCAACAATAGTTTCCCTGACATTGGGGCCCCTGGATGTCACCCAAGACTGAAATCAACACAGACAATGCTTTGTGTCCTGGAAAGTCTGGGCAGATTTTCTGTCCTAAGTAATGCTCTGTGGAATGGAATCGCCATCCACCTCTAGTTGCCCAGTCTCCTTGGAGGCTTGCAGGTTCCTCTCCCATCCCTAGGATGATAGGAGGGGAGGCCAACATGGTACATGGCTTACAGCATCCTTAAAGCCTTGTTCTAGGAGAGAACTAGCCCTGTCTGGTCTCTCTCTTATTTGTTTGTGACAGGGGTAACTGGACTCATGAGTAGACGACTGGCTGGAAAAAGAATAACAACTCATTTGAGGAGTGCCTGATCTTATTTGCGACTCTGCCCTAGGTTGGGCAAAGCAACTTGGAAGAAAAGAAAACAAATGCTAAACATTTGTACAGAGGCCCACAGAAATGTAGAGAGTGGGATTAGCTTTTTAGACATTCCTTCATTCAGCTGATATTATTGGAGTACCTTCTATGTGCCAGGCTCTCACACCAGCACCGTGGGAATTGTAGTCCCCTTCTCTTGTTATAGTTTTTGTTGTCCCCATCTTTTAGGACAACAGCAGATCTTCTCATCCCTCCAGTACAGAAGCAACCCAAATTTAAACTCTTTGGGCACAAAGACTGGCTGAGCCCACCTGTCTGAGGAGCACAACTGCAAGGATGGTACCCAGATACTGGGTACCAAGACCTTGACTGTAACTGGGCAGAGATGGAGCCTCCCAAGAGAAGCCGGGTTGGGCTGGGACTTTTAGTAAAATCTCAAGTGGGTAACTCCCCCAGCCTGAACCAGTTCCACCTGCAGCTCTACTTCAACCACTGCCAGTGACCTCAATACAGGTAATTGAATCAGCTCTTTCTCTGGGGGCTCGAGGTAGCTCAAGCCAGCTCATAGACAGGACTGCATAAGGTCTGCCAGAAGTCTGGGAAGGGGGAGGGTGAAGATCAAGGCCTCAGACCCCCAGGGCATGTGTATGATGGCCTTGGGAAGCCCCTTCTTTGTGGCAAAGTTAACTACCCACAACCACAGCCTGGGGATCTGAGAGTGGAAAGAGCCTGAAGGCTGGTAGGAGCATCCTGTGCCATGTCCCCTTTGGGAAAGGCTAGGAATTTAGGGCCTCCTCTAAGAATTCTCTAGACCAGGTAGAGAAAGGAAGAAAAGAAGAGAAAGGGCATAGAGTGATGGTGGCTTCAGGTATATTTTGATAAACAAGGAAGAGGGCATGGAGTAGGAGCTCTGATGCTCTCTACCCTCCATGTTGTGTCAAGTCCATCTACAAATCCTTTGAAGACCCAAGACATAGCTTGAGTGGATGGAGACTATGAGGAAAATCCCATGTTGGTGACCAGAGACACCCTACAACCCTTCTGGAATGGTGGATGGTTTTTGCTCTTCCTCCCCATCCTCCTTAGGATTCTTAGAACAGGTGAGCTAGTAGGCTCTTAAATTCTGGGTTCAGAACCTCCCTTCCCCAGAACTTTCCTAAACACCCTTTTAGGGTCCTGGTACAGGAGTCCTGCCTTGGTGCAAGAATGGTTTTGGTGAAGGAAATGGTTTGGCAGAGGAAAGAGGAGTCTGGGCTTTGGGCCACATTACCTGAAGGCATGGCGAATTTTCTCTCCCACAGGGTACGCCCGGTCCTTCTTCTCAAACTCATCATCGAAGATGGTGAGAGAGTACGCAGCTCTGTCTACCACGTAGCGGGGCCTGGGCTGGTTCATGTCTGTGGCATTTATGAGCTTTGGGAGAAGCAGACAAGGAGAAGATGAAGGAGCATCCCTTCTGGTGCCAGCCCAGGCCTTCTCTTTCTGGTCTTTGCTGCAGCCAAGTTTTATTCTGGTCTTTCCCGCCCCCATCCAGCAAGGTGCCTCCCTTCCCTTTGTCAAGTCTTTCCGCCAGACTCACTTCTTTTGGTGGCCTTCCTTCCCAGGCACTGATGATGCATACACTCGCCCTGGCTGTTTTGCTTGGCACCCAGCACGTGGCTGGCACTCCACACCTGTGACATCACTGTCACCCCCGCTGAACACCAGGCAAAGAGGAGGTGGGAGTACAAGGGCAGAAGTCACACTGCATTCAGCATGTTGATCCTACTCCCCACCCCCTAACCCCTAATGACCCCATAAACCACTCTTCTTCCCCAGACCTCAGTTTCCCTGGCAGAAAGGCTCATACCATTCAGCCAGTCAGCTTGGAAGAAGTAGAGAAACAGGCTGCCTGGAGGCAGGGGGATGGCTAAGATGACCTCAGAAGGACCTTCTTGAATAAGACACCCAGGACTTTACCAACAGGTTTCCCCAGGAGGGACAATGATGTGTTTGGGGAACTTGGGATGGTCCGCTGCTGGCAGTCTCTCCCACAACTTCCTGTGCCTAACCTTTCCCCCACCCCTGGGTATTGGTGTTTCTCCTCCTCACTCTTTGCGCAACCTTGCTTACGTTCCAGGAGCTGAGTTGGGCGAAGCTGGGTGCCAGGACTCTTGAGGCCAAGAGGAGTTCCCTGTAGGAAACTTTCCCTTCCTCCTCCAACTCCAGGTCTCTTCTCCTGTCCCCTATTCCCCCAGAGCAGGAAGAAGATAGTTGGAAGCCCTCAGAGGAAGTGGAGGGAGGAGAAAGAGAGATGGGGTGGTTTGGCGAGAGGACTTATATTTGGGAGGTGGAGAGCATGCAAAGGCTGTGCCAGTTTGGCAAAAGATTGAGTTGGGGTTAAACATGTTTAACTACACAGGAGGCTAGGGATGCCCCTGGCCTTCCTAGGAGAGGACATGGGGGAATGGAGAGGTTATCAGACAAGTGCAGGTTGCTAAATGCCTCTTGGGGAAGAGAATGCTGGAAGAAATAGAAAGAGGTAAGGATCCAGAAACTTAGCTCTAGGCCTGGATTTACTGGGGTAGTAGAGCTGGTGACATTGTCTTTCTGAATCTCAAATTCCTCCATCAGTAAAATGGGGCTCCTAATTTCACAGGGTAGTTGTGAAGGTCCAATGAGTTGGTGGTGAGAAGAGTTTAAATAAAATGTAATAAAGAATGATGCAAATGTGAGTTCCTGTCATTAATAAGGTGGTGCTGAAGTTGATGCAGGCTGGTTTGGTGCTTCCCAGTCCTTTGACCTTGGGAATGAGGTTCACTGGGACTGACAGGTAAAGGTTGGAACCTACCCATGATGATACCCAATGGGAGGTAAGATGGGGGGACAAAGCTACTCACAGTGCCCCAGCCCAGCCCCTTGGCCTGCACTTTGTAAGGACTCAACAGTGCTTGTTAAGTGACTTAATTAATGGTGTTTGGAGGACACATGGGCAGAAATGAATAAGGACCACAGCATGTGAGACATTTCAGTGGGAGAAAAGCAGAGTGGCACCAAGAAAACAGCCCAAGTTTTAGAGCCGGAATGACCTGGGCTCAAAGATTCAATTTCTTCTTCTGTAAGTGGAGATAATAACCATACGAGACAGTTGCTATGAGGATAAAATGAAATCATGGGTGCAAAGCACTGTGACCTTTTCTAGGCACCCTGCACATGGTAACGGCAATGATTGCTATTATTAAGATGGGAGGTGCTTTCTTCCTTAGAGGAGAGACTACTCACAGGCTTCCAGCCTTCACCTTCTACAAGCAGGGTGGACTCACTCTTCCTCTCTGCCCTCCCTGGGGTCTGTAAGGATCTGATTTGCCAGCTCGTTTGCTTGGTGGGCAATTTGGGAGCAGTGAGTAGGGGGCAGGACTCCCTTGAGGAACTCAGAGTTCCAGACCTAGCTTCAGAGAGATACTCGTGGTTTGGAGAGTGAGTTCCAGGCCTCTGAACAGATCACATGCAAAGAAATGGCCCAAAATTTCGAGGTGGGCTGAATCAGAAGAGGAGAGCCCTTCGGAAAATGAGACAATGGGAAATCTTGTTTCCATGATAGCCGGATGATGCAAAACCCGAATCCTTCTCCCAGGCTGTTTGCAAAGTTCCAGTAATGCATTTGTGGGGTAGGGTGCTATTAACACCCCATCCTATGGAACCCCACCATTTCACCTCCCCTTACCAATCCCCCGTTTCGCCAGTCCTTCTCTTGCCATTTGTCCCTGCCCTCCTCCTCTCCTCTACATTCAGTTGGTTATCGATCCTATTTCCTCCTTTTTTTCTTTCTTTCCTTTTCCTACTATTTCCTTCCTTCCTTTCTTTACTTTTCTCCTGTGCATTGCCTCTGTGGCTGTTCTCTGTTCCCCTCGTCCCCAGTCTGACTTCACACCTGGACTTCCCTAGCCTTCTAACTCATTTCCTGGCCGGTAGCCCTGGCTCCTCTAATCCAGCCCACATCCCCAGCTCAGAAACCTCCACCTTCCTCACTTCAAGGAGGACCAAGCCCAAACTCCTTATTATGGAGTTTTTTATTTGTTATCCTCTAGACTTGTGTTGGTGGCTCTGGTACAGTTGTTGGCTTGGTCCCTTTGTTCCATGTGGGTGGATCCGTTCAGCACCCTGAATAAGTTTTGGGCTCTGCTCTGCTCACACGTTCCTCTGAATCCCAGGTGTTCTGACTCATTTTTGCCATTCCTAGACCTGCCTATCCTTGAGATCTGCATAAGTTCCTCCTCCTCCCCTCTCCTCCCGTCCTCCTCCCTCTCATCTGTGACACCTGTCCTGACCACCCTGGTCCTGAGGGATCTCTCTTTCTCCTTGGATCTTGTCTGTCCAGGGAAGAGAGGGAAGAAAGGGGTGTGTGTGGTGAAAATCCTTCAGAGCAGGTGGGTGACTCAGGACTGTCTCTGCTCCTGTGGGCTCTGTAGGCTTCCTTACAGTTGGAGACTGGATGCTGGGGAGTCCCTTGTGTCACAGGATTGTGGAGGGGAAAAGCCCCCTTGTTTTATTGCAAACCTCCACCTGTGCCTTTCCCATGCTCTGCCCAATTCATTCCAGGAAGAGGGTGTTGCAGGGGACAAGGCACTGGGAGCTTTCACAACCCTTCTGTTTGCATCACTCAAAAAGGAGAACCCAGTGGCTGGCTGGAGTCAGGAAGTTTTATCTAGCAGGGAACTTGAGGTTGGCACTGGCCCAATCCTCTCATCTTGTTGATAAGGAAAATGAGTCTTAGAGAGAGGAGGATGGATCTGAACAAGGCCCGACACACTCAAGTGCTCCAGAAGGGGCTCCAGACCTCCTAGCGACAATGCTGATTTGTGTTATCTGGACCTTGTCCCCAGAGTGGCATCCACCATACCCCTTGCAGACCACTCTGGTGACCTTGCCAGCTAGAGGTCAGTTTCTCTTGTTGAGGTTGCCTCTGTCTGGGTTTCCTCCTGGCCTCAGCTTGCCCAGGGCAATGACAGAAAGAGATGCAGTCTATAGGCTCAGGAGCAGCCCCCTATCGTGGCGAGGAGCCATACCTCCTAATTCCAAGAAGAGCAGCTGAGGTGGGGTGTGGGCAGAGCAGAGAAAGACATGTCATTTGCCAGCCAGTCCTTCAGGTCTTGGAGCGTGAAGGAAAGGGGGATGGGAGAGGTGGAAACGGTGAGCTTGGGTGGGGAAGGTCCCCTTGTAGATCAGCTGTGGGGGTTCTCAGGGAGCTAAGGGAGCTATGGGGTCCCAGGAACCCTCAAAGAGGGTGCCTTGTGATGTTGGCTTGAGGTGGGAAGGTGAAAGAGAGAGCAAGAAAGGGAGCCAGGAATAGGGACCATGTCAATTTGATCCTTAGTTAAACACACAGCCCTGGTGAATGATGTCAATATCGCTGAAAAAAAGTCAAGTGCTCTATTGCCGTAGGTGTGTATCACTGAGCTCCACCCATCACACACCACAGCCCCTCCACTGCCTCCCATCCCCCCACTGGACCAGGGATAAATAGCAGGTGCCACGTGACAATACTGAGGAACAAAAAGGTGACGCTGGCCCTCCCTGGCTGTGAAGGAAATGAAAGATGTCCCCAAAAAGCTGAGAACTTAGGGGGTTTTAGGGAATAGAGGGAACGAAAAGAAGAACAGAAGAGTAAGAAAATATGGGGTTTGCGGACAATCCCTAAGCCCTGGAAGGAGAGTGGGGTCAGTCTGGGGCTGAGGTGATCCAGGGTTCTTGTAGAGCTAAGGAGCTAAGGGAAGGAGAACAAGGAGTGAATGGATTCTGTGGGGACCCCTACAATGAGCTCATGCAAAAGAAAGCCCACTGGGACCTCCTCCCAATTGTATTTCTGGTTAGGTCTGTCAATAGCCTCAGAATACTGTGGGCAGAGATGGATATTGTCATGCCCAGGAATTCTTTCTTGCTGTGCCTCGTCGGGCAGATCCCTTTGCCTTTCTTGGACTTTCTTTTCTCTCTCTCAGTCCTTATATACCCCATCACCAGCCCCTTGTTCCTCCAGATGTTCCCAGAACTAGTGAGAAGAAAAGCAGCAAATCTTTTTAGCAAAAGGCAGGACATTTGGGGTGCAAGAAGGCAGAGCTTGCCTGTGGGTTTCGGTCAGGTTTAGAGGTGATCTTGTCATTGAGGCCCAGATCAACTTCCTCCCTCGGCCCTGCCTACAGAGGGTGTGTGTGTGTGTGTGTGTGTGTGTGTGTGTGTGTGTGTGTGTTGTTGAGGGGGGGCAGTGGTTCTCAAATGCCCTTGTGCCAGACACGGGAGCAGCCCCAGCTTGGCCAACTATTCTGGCATCCTTATCACCAGTCCCTACCTTGCTGGTCTCTGTGTTCTGGGAAGAGGAAAGGTCACTTTGAGGTTTACCCTTTGCTCTGGCTGTTGGCCTGCTTCATCCAGGGTGGGAGTCCTTGGGGAGGGCAGCCTCTGTCTGGTTAGGGTGGATGGTGAACTGGGGATGTGACAGCAAGCTGGGGCCTCAGTTGGAGACCTTGTCCCTAGCAAGAGCAGGGAGGCTGTAGAGATCTATGCCCACCCAGGACACTTAAAAATACTCCTTTTCCTTCTACTGTCCCAAGGTTCTTGGGTAAATCTCCTGTCCCCTCTTCACTCCAGTCTATTTCCTCCTTGGTGATGGGAGGGGTAGTGGGGATGTCCCTAAGGTGTGTGCCCACTCTCTGGGACTCTGTTCTGGAACTGTATCTTTGCAGGGACAAGACTCACTGCTGTGATCCTCAAGTCCCCACTCCTAATTTGCAATTTCACTCTCCCTCCCCTTCTGTTCTCCCTTCTGTACAGGTGAGCAGGGGCTGGGTGGAGGAAAAGACTCCTGGCAGAAGGATCTGAGGCCAGATGTCAAAAAAGTACTTTCTAACAGTGAGACCTGAGCAAGGTCATGAGCTCCTTGGGACGGACACCTGGGCTTAGGCTCCTAGAAGTCTGTAAAGAGACCAGGACAAGTCTCACTTGGAAGCAGAAGCCTAGACAAGGAGACTTGTGAAGGTTCAAGAATTCAGGTCAAAGCTTGTTTTGGCATTGAGGAGGTGGCCCTGCAGTGTCAGCTTCCGTCCCCTCATCCTCTGGACCTTGGTCAGTGACAAGCTGGTCCCTCACTGTCTGGCCAGCTGACTCTGGTTGTTTAGTACAGTTTAACACACACTCACTCAATACCAATATTTGCCAATCTCCTGGAAGATTCTGGGCCCTAAGACCTGAAAAAGAGTCTACCTTTCTTGCCCCAGAATTTTATACAAATGAGCCCCAGAACAGATCAGTAGACCCTGGGAAGTGCTGGGAAGGCCATCCTGGTGGTGGAGGTGGTCCTTTCTTTCTCTATGCTCCAGACGGGCTCTGGGCACATTCTGAATATCAACGCTAAGGTGGGAGTGTGTATGGGATCACTGGGCTTTGGGAGAGGGTTGTCTATGTAGGTGAAGATATTTAGGGGGAAAGCCCTCTCTCTGTCTCCCCTATTTCGGTAGGGGGAGCACTGTCCCATCCTTGAGCTGGTCTTTCTCCTCATCCTCCAGACTCAATGGGGCCAAGTTCAAGTGGGTAGTTAGTGCTGGAATGATAAAAGATTTGCTTTTTCTGGGCTGGGTAACTTCTAGACTGATTCCAAGAATCAGGCAGTGACCAAAGGTGGCTTGGGATCCCTCAGAGCTGCAAGATGAAGAGTTCAGAAGTTGAGGGTGGTGGGAGGGCTCTGTGGAGCTGGCCCAAATCCTCTGTGTTGCATTATTCACCTGGAAGTCAGAGCTCAGGCCCTGCTCCTGCCTGCCTGTCTCCCTGACCGCACTGGGTCCCTTGAGCACCCTCTCCCACCTCTTGGTTTCCTTTCCTTCTGTCTCTCCCAGCTTCTCAGGATTAATGAGGACAAATGTCTGTATAGTCCATGTTAAGGGCTTTGAGCTGATAGAGAAGTGGAGAGTGTAGGAGGGCATCTAGGGGAAGAAGGAGGGGGAGACAGCCATGCAGAGAAGCCTGTGAGCCAGGCACTGAGAGCCTTCTACTTCCAGGACTTGAAAGAAAAGGAGAGGTAGGTGCAACTAGCAGCTTCAAAGTCTGGTGGCCCAAGGAAGGCCCACTATTCTCCTTTCCCTGGAAGTCATCTGTATAGGAGTCTGGGGGACCTCCCCTACCATAGCCTCTGTCCTACTCAGTCCCCCAGCCAAGTTTGGCTGGGCTCCTCCTTGCAGCCAAGGTCATTACATGGAAGAATCTCAGAGGGACCTCCAATGGGTTCCTCAGAGGGGAAGGGCTGGGGGGCTGCTCTCAGACTCAGGGACCACAGTGCCCTTCCCATTTGTGTTCAGGCTGTCAAGACCCACCATGTGACCTGCTGGTTCCTTTCATCCCTCCTCTCAGTACCCCGATACCCGACCTCTTGCAGGGATGACCCCCAGCCCTTTGGGGTGGGCTGGGCTGGGTGGAGCTTACCGCGGGTGAGGAGAGCTGGCTAGGCAGGGCTGCAGGTGTGTCTGGGCAGCGGGCAGCCAAAAGGTGTTCCTGAGGTGTGTGAAAGGGCTCTGCTTAAATAATCCAGGGAGGCGTTTATAAATAACTTCACCTCAGGGCCACGGGGTGAGCCCCGGCTTCTGATTGGCTCAGAGGGGAAGTGGTTTTGAACACTACACCATAGCTAAGCCTGAGGAGATAGGAAAAAGAGATAAGGGGAAAAAGGTCCCAAATGAACAGCCCTTTTTTTGTTTTACCTGGGGAGCAGGGTTGTTTGATGGGAGCTTGGCACTTCCTAAATCCACCCTGAAGACAATAGGTCACATTCAGTGTAGCCCCTGCCCCACAGGCTCCCCCAAGGCGGCCAACCGAGCAGGGGCACAAGGCAGATTCCTCTCTGAGCTTGCTGTCCTGCTGCTTATGGGCTGGGGGTCAAGCCAAGCAGCCTGTTGGACAATGGGCACCATTGAGGCCTCCTGAGGGGTGGGGCTGTGGGGCTCTTGCTTTGAAGGTTGGAGCTCTGGAGGTAGGAGACCATGGACCTCTGAACACCCCTGAGGAAGGGGATGAGCCATATCTGGGAGTTCCTGAGAGTCTCATTGGAGCTAGGCGCTGCGATTGAGACCTGGTTCCCAGTTCTGCCCCTGACCTTAAGTAATTTGTGAAATCTGTACTCTAGTGTGTCCTTCATGGAAGTGGGGAAAGAACCCCTATCCTTAACTTCTCAACTAGAATGCAAAGAGAAAATATAGGGGTTGGGGGTTTCGTAGAGTAGTTCAAGAAACAAGACCTACCATAATTCTTTGAAAGGTGTCCCAAGGCTATCAAGTTTCCAATCCACAGGCCTCTGTCACTTCCAGGAGTTAATATCTGCTTGGGCTGTAGCACTGCTCAGGCTGCTGCTTGCCTTTGGGGTCAAAGCTGCCTATCCCATCGCAGTGATGCAGTGAGGATGTCAGGATGCAGTGCTGCGCAGGGCTGAGAAGTAGAATGGGAGAGATTCTTAACATCCCTCGAGAAGGAGAGGTCCTTTCTGAGGCCAGTTGTCTTTTCTTCAAGACATCTGGAGCTGCGGTATCCTAACCTTGAATTGTCCTTCCACTTCTCCAAAAGAAAAACAGGGCTCTTAAGTTTGATGGAGTCAGTACAGAGTGTTTCAGCAAGAAATGAGCTAGTTTTTGTACATAATATGGATTCAACAAATATTTGTTGATTGAATGAAAGAATGAACTATCTGCAAGCCCAACCCATGGGATAGTTTGTAGATGCATTGCTTGTGGGGACCAGGGAAACACCCAAGGTCACTCAGAGTTGTCATGGTGTAGCCAGACAACTGGCTGAAGAAAGTCAGAATGCAAGGGACTCAAGCATGCCAGTCACTTAGTTGAGGGGAGGATGTGTGTGTGGACACTGCCTCTGAGAGCCCTTCCCCAGGCTTTTGCATGGACTCAGTGTCACTCGTTCATTCCTGTGACCTTTTGTGTATCACCATCACAAAGCTGACCACATGTGGTAATTATGAGCCCAGTCATCAGTTTTTCTCCAAAGACTGTGTACTCCATGGGGAGCACAGGCAGCCAGTGCCTGGCTGGTTCACTTTTGCATTCCACCAGTGCCTGGAACTTCATATGAATAGGTTTGTGGTAGGGGTGACCAATTGTATGACAGTCTTTGAGCAAAGCAGAACCAGAGGGAAAGAATTTGTTCATGGCTCCACCGTTGTCCAGTGTTGGGGGTAACCTGACCTGCTCTACATTTTGGCCAGAAAATTCCTAGAAAGCACATGAATCATCAGCTCTCACCATAGCCAAGTGACAGTAGTCATGAAGAGCAAACAATTAAGCCCTCTTTGCTGAGGCAACATGCCCCCTAGGGAATCTTCTGGTTGTACGTACTTTTGGACCGAAAATGCACTGCCCAGCTGATTGGAGCATCCAGGTGATCTGCAGGTGCACTTATTTTTTTTATAAATGTATGTATATATGTATGTATTTATGACGGTTCTGGGGATCCAGTCAAGGGCCTTGTATATGCTATGCAGCCACATCTGCAGCCCAATTTCTTTTTAAAATAACCCATGAATATTTTGGGTTGCTAGTTGACCTAGTGTGAATGTTACTATTGTGACTTATTCTCTCCTAAGTCTGATCTACTTTCCATAGTAACACTTGGCTTTCTTTTTTTTTTTTAATTTTATTGTTTTATTATTCATATGTGCGTACAATGCTTGGGTCATTTCTCCCCTCTGCCCCCACCCCCTCCCTTACCACCCACTCCGCCCCCTCCATCTACCCCCCCACCCTCTCAATACCTGGCAGAAACTATTTTGCCCTTATTTCTAATTTTGTTGTAGAGAGGGTATAAGCTATAATAGGAAGGACCAAGTGTTTTTGCTAGTTGAGATAAGGATAGCTATACAGGGAGTTGACTCACATTGATTTCCTGTGCATGTGTGTTACCTTCTAGGTTAATTCTTTTTGATCTCACCTTTTCTCTAGTTCCTGGTCCCCTTCTCCTATTGGCCTCAGTTACTTTTAAGGTATCTGCTTTAGTTTCTCTCCGTTGAGGGCAACAAATGCTAGCTAATTTTTTAGGTGTCTTACCTATCCTCACCCCTTCCTTGTGTGCTCTCGCTTTTATCATGTGCTCATAGTCTAATCCCCTTGTTGTGTTTGCCCTTGATCTAATGTCCGCATATGAGGGAGAACATACGATTTTTGGTCTTTTGGGCCAGGCTAACCTCACTCAGAATGATGTTCTCCAGTTCCATCCATTTACCAGCGAATGATAACATTTCGTTCTTCTTCATGGCTGCATAAAATTCCATTGTGTATAGATACCACATTTTCTTAATCCATTCGTCAGTGCTGGGGCATCTTGGCTGTTTCCATAACTTGGCTATTGTGAATATCTGGCTTAATTCCTTCTTTCCTTCCTTCCTTCCTTCCTTCCTTCCTTCCTTCCTTCCTTCCTTCCTTCCTTCCTTCCTTCCTTCCTCCCTCCCTCCCTCCCTCTCTCCCTCCCTCCCTCCATCCCTTCCTCCCTCCCTTCTTCCCTTCTTCTTTTTTTTTGGCAGTACTCGGTTTGAACTTAGGGCCTCATGCTTGCTAGGTAAGTGCTCTGCCACTTCAGCCCTGCCCCCAGCACTATCTGTTGAATTGTCACACCAAGGATGTGATGTAGGCATGCCTCTCTCATTTTTTAGGATGAGTGAGCTGAGGTTGACTGAAGTGAAGTAACTTGCTCAAGGTCACAAAGATCTGGATGGAAGAGACAGGAATTTAACTTGGACATGATGAGTTCAAGTATTCCGCTTTGCTCCTCATACCACTTTAATCTTTGAACCTGCAAAGCTAAGGGTGTGACCCTATCCAATAGCCTGTCTTTTAGACACGTTCAGCCTCCCTTTGAAATAACTCCCAAGGTGACCTGAATGTAGGTGACTGGGGCAGACATAACATAACAAGTGCTGGATTTGAGAACATGTTGGCTCTTCTCAATTCTTCTATTGTCAGAAAATTCTCATAGGACTTACACAATAGGACAAGAGGGATGGGCCCAGAGATTCCTTTGAAGTCACCAAGGGAGGTGACAGGGGCCTCAGAATCTGGAGATGAACCATGGGTAGAAGGCCTGGGTCAAAGGAATCCAGACCAGAGGTTGAGGAAGCTGAGGACAAGAAGGAGAGCAGCCCTGATGGCTAAAAAGGGACATCTTAGGGGGTATCTTGCATAGAATAAACCATGTGACAGAGTTACAGCTGGTGGAGGGAACACAAAAATCTGGAGAAAACTAAAGTCTGATGGCAGAATTAGAAACACAGAGGAAAAGAGATAGAGACTAAGACTCAGGGGAGCAAAGAACACAGTAACACACACAGCAACTCAGCTTTGGGTTTTGGTAAATCATCTGTTTTCATGATGAAGGCAGGTGAACCTCAGCCCTTACCTCTCTCTGGAGCAGTGTATATTCTCCTTCGGAAGCAGTCTACTTTACTCGAGCCCAGGGTTGAAAGTTGTATTTGTTCATTCACTCATTCAAAATCCTTTCTCTAGTGCCAGGATCCTGATGTAGGGATACTGAGATAACTAAGACAGAGTTCCTGTCCTGAAAAGATCTCAGTCTTGTGGGAAGATAGGAGGTGAGGAGACCATTGTAATAAGGAATCCAAGTGCCATGGGAGACAGAGGAGAGGCACCCAGATTAGCCATGAGGAAAAGGGAGGAGGTCAGGAAAGACTCCCTGAAGGAGGGGACACAGAGGTTCTGCCACAGTTGAGGCCTAGACACTTGAGCTATAAAGCCCAGGGGGTGGTCACTCCCAGGGAGAAGGGTATGGGTGCTGCCCCTTGAGGCACCATCTCTAGAAGGATTTTCCAGCTTGTTCCTAAGCTCTCTATGACATCTGAATCCATCCAAGTTTCTCCAGCCCATCCTTGTGTTCTCCCTTGACTCAGAGCTTGGTCAAACACATTACATCACACAGCATGTACACACACACACACACACACACACACACACACGCATGCACACTCAGTCACTTGCACCAAACAGGTTTTGGGGATTTTTTGAGCTGTGCAGAGAAAACCACAGTGTTCGCAAAGCACCCTCCTCACATACCTCATTCTTGAGCTGGTGCAGCTAAGGAACAGCTATTTTTTGGATGAACAAAGAGAACAATTCTGCCATGGCTGTCCATCTTTGGGCCTCTGGCCTTATCAGCATGTGCTGGCTTCTTACACGAGTGCCTGGTGGGGCCTGTGCCAAGGGTGTGGGCAGGATTGTGTTTTGGGCAGAGTGGCCCAGTGACTTGAGCAAACACCTCAAGGCTAAAGACAAAAAGGTCTTGACCCCTGCCTTGTGGTGTGGGGCCTGACCTGGCCATGAGTCTGCCAACTTTAGATGTACACAGGGACTGGCGGGGCAAAGAGCTCTTACCCACAGAGAGACAAATCCTCACCTCTCTCCCCAGGGAAGCTGAGGGCTCAGCACACTGAGCTGACACATCTCAGGCTGGTCAGGACGTGGGGCAGCAGCAAGCAGGGCACAGCC